GACAGTGAGCATTCATAAGCGAGTTCATAAGGGCGTACACGCGATGATCGATTCTCTTCATCGATTTTCTCTTTTCTTAATAACTCGCTAGATTTAACGTTTGTCGGTGCGTTTGTTGTTGCTTTTGAAAGCCAATACAACCTATTACAACTCTACTACAGACAAACAGACATAACACTGGCAATTTGTTCATCGAACACGCATTTAACAGTCAATTTAAATGTTTTTAGTTGGTAGCACCGCCACCTGTGGCGCACATAGTCAATAACCCTTGCGTTTGACGTTTACACACTACCGCCATCTGTTCAGCGTACTACCCATCACAGTATACTCAACAGATGGCGGTAGTGTTTTAGTGACGATGTTTGAATGTGTTATGTCTGTTTGTCTGTGACTCTACATTGAACAAATTCTACAAAATTGTTTCGCTTAGCTGTAGCAATGCAAAGAGAAAGACGATGAAGAGAATCGATCTTCGCGTATACGCCCTTGTGCATGCTCACTGTCGAATTGATTTTCGTTGGTTGATAAATGGCACCAAGAAATGTGCAAAATATTGCAATGCAATCAATTATTATTTTGCACGTAAATCGAATCAAAAAGTAGAAGGGTCTGTGCCTAGGGTAGCTTGACGTAGGACCGCTAGTAGACGGAATAAATGTGAAGAGCAGTTAGTTCTTTTAATTGATCAATTATCTATTACCTCAACCTTTTGCTCCTTTGCCACGACCAGTCACTAGCCACCACCTTCCTACTGCTGCTATTGCTGTTCACCACGCCGTCCGAAGCGAAAATGAGCTAATGCCATACAGCAGCGCTCTTTTATATCTTTTCAGGTTAAAGCAGAATGATGTGCAACCAAGTGGTATAAAAGCTACAAAAACTCCTCTTATTATGAGTAGTTTGCTATCAAGTACCCGACCAACCATTTCGTTAAATTTCTTTAATTTTCGATACATCGATCTTCAAAGACATTCATATGAAAAATCGATAGCGATCGTCACCATTTTATGAATAAATGTAAAGATACTAAAAGCCTGATCGTGAATAATTTATAAACATCTTTATCAAAATGTTGCTACTAATCGTTACCTATGTAAAAATATCGATTCGTGTTGCCAGATCAAAATATCGATTTCTCATATCAGATCAAAATAACAATACACGGTACTGATATTTTTGTCATTTTTTTTTATCTGCATAATTGCTAGGTTTCGATCCCGTGCCATCTAGGGTGCACTGATTTCTTTGTTGATAACTAATCCTCGGGTCTATAGCTGCTGTTGATGAGCTTCTTAACGACTGGCAATCACACTCTAGTATATGGTGTTTTGAAATTGATGTACATTTTTCAAACAGACATTCAAAATTTAATTGTCATATTAAATTTTGAATGTCTGTTTGAAAAATGTACATCAATTTCAAAACACCATATACTAGAGTGTGATTGCCAGTCGTTAAGAAGCTCATCAACAGTAGCTATAGACCCGAGGATTAGTTATCAACAAAGAAATCAGTGCACCCTAGATGGCACGGGATCGAAACCTAGCAATTATGCAGATAAAAAAAAATCACAAAAATATCAGTACCGTGTATTGTTATTTTGATCTGATATGAGAAATCGATATTTTGATCTGGCAACACGAATCGATATTTTTACATAGGTAACGATTAGTAGCAACATTTTGATAAAGATGTTTATAAATGATTCACGATCAGGCTTTTAGTATCTTTACATTTATTCATAAAATGGTGACGATCGCTATCGATTTTTCATCTGAATGTCTTTGAAGATCGATGTATCGAAAATTAAAGAAATTTAACGAAATAGTTGGTCGGGAAATTTGTGTCATGGTTTCCTGTGGAAAACCTAAAAAATCTGCCAGAAAATGAAGAAATTGACGAAAATTTTATTCAGTCTCGGAGTAGTACCATTAGACTGAGTGAATCCAATCTTTATTTTTCTCAAATTCGGGAATTTTTCCCTGGAAAATACTGGAAAAACATGAGGCAAATTTACTCCTCGCTGAGTTCCTGCACTTTATTTATTATTTCTGAGATAACTAAACTCAAATTTGGGTCGTTCTCATTCGCCGTGATATCACCTTGAAAGATATTGGCGCCGGGGGTTAGCATGATTGCCTCTCACCCCAGCAGGCCAGGGTTCAATCTCAGTCGGCGCCACCGGCATTTTCTAAGGCATAACATCTCTGATCACGCCTTTCTTCGAGAAGTAAAGCCGTTGGTTCATGAGTTGATGGGTCGATATGTAGGGTCCAGTTGTGGGAGCTGCCTCCCAGGCGTCGGTAGCATTGGAGCTCAGTACGGAAAACAAATCTCGCGTCACTTTTCAATAGGTCCTATCTACATTGATCGATTCTCTTCATCGACACTCTCTTTCGTAAATAACTCGATTTCACAAATGTTTCCTGCCGTCTTCGTCGAATTAGATGCTAGATTGTTGCTTCTTCCATCGAAAATATCCGGCAGTGGCGATTCAAAGTTGATCAAGGTTGATCAAAATAATTTGTACCCCTGCTTCCAGTTTGATTACATGAGCATTTTGTGTGATCGTTGGTTCTGAATATGGACAAACATGCAGATTAATTCTATTCCTACTCTTTACTGTAATAAGCTTGGTGGCCCTGAAAAGAGCCGTTTTGTTGCCAAAGTTGGTGATAATGTAGCCTTCGAAACCAAACAGAGTGCGTCTCTGTCACTTCAAAACGTAGATGACATGCATGGCCGCTTACGCTTGGCCTGTTTAGTGTAGGTGACAACATCACGGATCTCATTTTTCAGGAACACCTTCAGCACACCTCGTAAACCAGACCGGAGATACGTCAGTCACCGCCACGGCGAGCCAGACGACGGATGGTGGTTATCTCGAAGAATTTGCGTTTGGTTCTGAATATGGCGATGAGTGTGCAAAATATTACGCAATGCCATCCTCCCTATTCGCACGCACCCGAGGATCGGAGGCGAATGCCACTTCGACTTGTTTCAACTACTTACTACTCTCTGACGACTGTGCTGGGGAAGCAGCATATGCATGTAGGTAATTGGTGGATTTGTTAGTTAATTCGACGTTTTTGGACAATGCTGGACATTTACCAGTTTTTCAATAGTTTCTTGTTGAAAATCAACATTCGGAAGCATTGTTTTCGATGCGTAGCCATATTTCTGATCGATTGGTGATAAAATTATTGAAATTGGACCAGGGGCAGCTGAGTTATTAATGTTCAAAATCTTTCTTAATTTGTTACATGTTCCATTTTCGTTTTTCGCAAAGTGTACCCCCATATAGAAATCAAAGACGTAGTCCTACGTCAAAATAATAGTCATTTGAAATGCTAGCTTCTAGCAAGGGTTGCAAGATAAATTAGGAAAAAATCCCAGCTGCCGAATTGTATTTTGTTTTCTCCGCCTATCTCTCCCTCTGAGTATTTCTAATTATATCCAAACTGCTGCAACCAGGTCAATCCATCGGCTGTGTAATATAACGTTGTACGATGTACATCGATTTTGCGAACAAAATTACATCCATTGATGTAATATTGATCTGCTTTTTGCTATTACATCATTATTCCATACATCAGCGATCAATGTATGATCAATCCGAGGATCAATCTTACTTTTTTTTGCTGTGTACACTGATAAAAATAGTATGGTATCGCGTACCATTGAAATGTGTTTAATTATACTATGACAGCTCATAGTAAAATCAACCGATATTTCTTTCCATTCTATTATGTGTTTAACTTATTTACTATGCTCCCCATAGAATTTCATGTAGTATTATTAATAACATTCTTGGTTAAACAATACTTCAAATTTACCATGTTACCTTGAGAATATGGTAGCAGCAACAGAAATGATGTTTGGTTGGAAAACAAAATGATTACTATTTCACTGCTAACCGTGGTGATCACAGATTATTGCATGATCGCCATTTTGTAAAAACTCATTCGACAAGTGCGCATCAGCGGGTATTTTTTATGTTGCAGATAAAAGTGGCAGCTAAAGTTGAACTATTGAAACATTCCTGGAATCATTGCTGTTGGAGAGGTAAAACTCATTAACGGTAAACAATTTTAATTTAATTAAGGTTTATTTGTGTGGAAGCAGACGAAATACCGGAACAGCAGAATTTTCTCGATCAGGAGCTAGATCCATCTGTTTTTGCCAATTGGTAATCAGTAACAATTATTAAATATACAATTTTTAACATTATATTTTTGACAGGCTTTGAACCATATGGACTAACGGACACAAACATGCACTATGATAAAAGTTTCGTGATCTGACCGACACCGCCTTCCTGCAATCCTGCTAAATCTCTGCCGGGTCTCGGGATCAATCCACCACCATTGCTCAACCAAGACCATTCAGTGTGTGTGTGTGTTGTGCAGAGTATTTCAAAATAAATAAATTATGACTATATTCTAAATTGCTTCTCAGAACAACTTTTTTCTGAGATTTCAATTTAATAGAAATTTTTTATTTGATTGGAATCTACAAAGAGGTCGAAAGTCACAAAGCAATGCAATTTTATTTTCGCAGTAGAAATTACTACATAAATATGGTTAACAATACTATTCTCAATAGTAGTAGAATTAACTGAAATTTCGTTTACTACAACAATAATTTACGTTGTAGTTGATGCAATCACTTTTGTTTTTGTTTATACTAGAAGAATGGTTCACCTTACTACGCCAACGTTTTTGACGCAGCATGGTAACATCAGCAACAGTTGTATTCATTTCAAATACAATATTCGTTCTACCGAAATTTAGTGGTATTTTGTTTTCATTTTTAACCTACGAAATAGTAGTGGTTACCATGGGACTGTTTTCAGTGTATATAACCCACCCACACGAATTGCCGGCGAAAAAGTGACGTCATTTGACATTGGGCGACTTGAAGACTGATCGTTTTTAAATTGGTGTGTTTTTTTTTGTCGTGCGCTCAGCCATCTTGTTTGGTAAAAGTTTGTTTACTTTTACCCGAGCCGCGAGCGAAAGGAAGCAGCTAACAGTAGGGGAGAACAGTACATAACGCACCCCCAGGGTAAGACGCACTTTTTCATTTCATTTTGAGTTTTTCTTGGAATTTTTAATCCAATTCTAGGATTTATCATGCAGGATTTTGAGTTCAGATGCTACGCTAGAAGTGCTGCTTTATAAGACAACAAAAAAGTTACGTAAAAGCCATGAAAAACACAAATGAAAGTCAGCTGGTGCGTTCTGCCCAGGGGGTGCGTTGTATACCATTCTCCCCTAAGTATTAAAATATTTGTTATATTTATTGCAATTATGTTTAATTTACTGATGCAACGCATCAACAAGGATGTTTAACGCATCCGGAAATTACTACTGATATTATTTTGCGTAATTTCAGTACTTGGCACCTGATCCTCCGACAAAGGAATCATTAGCGCAATTAGTTGTACAGTTTGTGCAGTACCAGGAGACCAAACTCACTACTAGGTTGCCGGTAAGTGTTCCCTAAATTCAGGGTTAAACAGCTTGTGGTCAGTGGTAAAATTCTTACTTCTTGCGCAGATGCGATGTTTTATGGATTTTAAACCGGGTGGATCGCTTTGTCATATTCTGGCCACGATGTACAGTTACAAGGCTGAACAGCGCTGGCGGAAATTCGATTTTACGGTAAACAAGGTAAGCATGTTCCACGCCCGGTGCTAATTCCCTTTTGATCAAATGTTCCACCCTATGCTTAAGGACCCCATTATACAGATGCTGCTTAACATGAAGACGGCTCTAATCGAAGCTGAATACATGCGGCTACCGATCGTTTACGTTAGGCCCGAAGTGGACAAGGCTACTGCTAATCGAATATCGAACATTGTAACCAATCATCAGGGTGAGATGACGATGGACGAGGAGGAGGCGACGCATATCATCTATCCGGTGGTTGATCCCCTGCTGGAGGATTATGCAAGGCCTACATTCCGCCGGGATAAGCATGTGATGATTCATTGGTATTACTTCCCGGATTCGTACGATACCTGGGTACCGAATACGTTTGATTTGCCGGAGGCCGTGCCGGATTCTCCGATGTCACCGGGTGACCGTTGGTCTGTTTCGCTTTTGTGGGTAACCGATCTGGAAGAGTACAATGAATGGATGGCAAAAGAGGATTACGAAGTGGATGAAGCCGGTCGTAAAGAGGTCCACAAACTGCGACTCGGTGTTACGGATCTGATGGCCGGTGGATCGGACGATAAAGTGAAGAAAGCTAATGATGAAAGTTGTTCATCAGAAGTGCAAACGATCGCCTTCTCCGCAAGCAAAGGGTGGTAAACGGAAGAGCGGTCGGCCACCGGCCGTATTCCAAAAAAAAAAACCTTGTGCTGATGACGAACAATCAGAAGATCTGACAAAGGATATGGACGACTCCCAGCCGGAAACTAATCTGACTGAGGTGAAGGCTGGTTCGAGCAATTCTGCTTAAGGTGCGGCCACTCCACAGCCCAAGAGAGATCCGGAAATGATGCCTATAAAATATGCAACAATGACGGATCTGGATGACGACATTGACAGAGCTAATGCGGATCGAACGGGAGATGATAGTCAAGCTGGCAAAACCAGCGACAACAGCAACTCAGGAGTTTCCTCACAACAAGGACGACCTGGAGGATATTGTTACCGAGTAGACACGAGTAGAAAGTTAAGTTAAAGTTAAGTTAAAGTTAAGTTAAAGTTAAGTTAAAGTTAAGTTAAAGTTGAGTTAAAGTTGAGTTAAGTTAAGTTAAAGTTAAGTTAAAGTTCAGTTAAAGTTAAGTTAAAGTTGAGTTAAACTTAAGTTAAAGTTAAGTTAAAGTTAAGTTAAAGTTAAGTTAAAGTTAAGTTAAAGTTGAGTTAAAGTTGAGTTAAGTTAAAGTTAAGTTAAAGTTCAGTTAAAGTTAAGTTAAAGTTGAGTTAAAGTTAAGTTAAAGTTAAGTTAAAGTTAAAGTTAAGTTAAAGTTGAGTTGAAGTTGAGTTAAGTTAAGTTAAAGTTAAGTTAAAGTTCAGTTAAAGTTAAGTTAAAGTTGAGTTAAAGTTAAGTTAAAGTTGAGTTAAAGTTAAGTTAAAGTTAAGTTAAAGTTAAGTTAAAGTTAAGTTAAAGTTAAGTTAAAGTTGAGTTAAAGTTGAGTTAAGTTAAGTTAAAGTTAAGTTAAAGTTCAGTTAAAGTTAAGTTAAAGTTGAGTTAAAGTTAAGTTAAAGTTAAAGTTAAGTTAAAGTTAAGTTAAAGTTAAGTTAAAGTTGAGTTATATTAAGTTAAAATTAAGTTAAAAATTAATTTAAAGTTAAGTTAAAGTTAAGTTAAAGTTAAGTTAAAGTTCGGGTAATTAAGTTAGAGTTATGTTAATTTCATGCTACAATTATGTTAAAGTAAAGTTAAAGTTAAGTTAATGTTATGTTAAATTTAAAGTTCTGTTAATAGTAAGATAAACATTTGTTAAAACAAAAGTTAAAATTTAGTTAATGTTACGTTAAAGTTAAGCTAGAGTTAAGTTAAGGTTATGTTTAAGTTAAGTTAAAGGTAAGTTACAGTTATGTTTATGTTAAGATAAAGTTAAGTTAATTTATGTTTAAGATAAAGTTAAGTTAAAGGTAAGTTAAAGTTATGTTGAAGTTAAGTTAACGTTAAGTTAAAGTTAAGTAAAATTTAAGTTAACGTTAAGTTAATGGTAAGTTAAAATTATGTTAAGGTGAAGTTTATTCAAATTTATGTATAAGTTATGTTAAAGTTAACTTTAAATTAAATTTAAATTAAATTTATGTTAAAGTTAAAGTTACGTTAAAGTTATGGTAATGTTAAGTTATGATTAATTTAAATTTAAAGTTATGTTAAAGTTAAAGTTATGCTAAAAATAAATTAAATTTATGTTGAATTTGTTTCAATTTAAGGTGAAGTTTTGCTAAAATTATGTACAAGTAAATTTAAGTTAAAGTTATGCTATAGGTAAGTTAAAGTTAAGTTAAGTTAAATTTAAGTTAAGTTTAGTTAACGTTATGTTAAAGTTAAAGTTGATGCTTAAAGTTAAGTTAAAGTTCAGTAAATTTTAGGATAAAGTTATGTTAAATTTAAGTTAAAATTACGTTTAGTTAAAGTTAAGTTAAAGTTATGTTAAGTTAATGTTCGGTTTGAGTTAGTTATGTTAATGTTAAAGTTATGTTAAATTTAAGTTAAAATTTAAGGTTAAGTTAATGTTCGGTTAAAGTTATGTTAAAATTTAAGTTATGTTAAATTTCAGTCAAACTAAAGTTAAGGTTATGTTAAAGTTTATTTAAAGTTAAGTTAAAGTTTAGTTAAAGTTAAGTTAAGTTTAAGTTAAGTTTAAGTGAAATTTAAGTTAAGTTTAAGTTAAGTTTAAGTTAAGTTTAAGTTAAGTTAAAGTTAAGTTTAAGTTAAGTTTAAGTTAAGTTTAGGTTATCTTAACGTTATGTTAAAGTTAAAGTTAATGCTTAAGTTAATGTTAGGATAAAGTTATGTTACATGTAAGTTAAAATTACTTTAAGGTTTTGTTTAAGTTAAAGATATGTTAAGTTAATGTTCGGTTAAAGATAAAGTTATGTTAATGTTAAAGTTATGTTAAATTTAAGTTAAAATTTAAAGCTAATTTTAGTTTAAAGTTATGTTAAAAATAAAGTAATGTTAAAATTTAAGTTTAAGTTAAGTTAAATTAAGTTAAAGTTAAGTTTAAGTTAAGTTAAAATTAAGTTAAAGTTAAGTTAAAGTTGAGTTAAATTAAGTTAAAATTAAGTTGAAATTAAGTTAAAGTTAAGTTAAAGTTAAGTTAAAGTTCAGTTAAAGTTAAGTTAAAGTTAAGTTAAAGTTAAGTTAAAGTTAAGTTAAAGTTAAGTTTAAGTTAAGTTAAAATTAAGTTAAAGTTAAGTTAAAGTTCAGTTAAAGTTAAGTTAAAGTTAAGTTAAAGTTAAGTTAAAGTTAATTTAAAGTTGAGTTAAAGTTAAGTTAAAGTTAAGTTAAAATTGAGTTAAAGTTAAGTTAAAGTTGTGTTAAAGTTGAGTTAAGTTAAGTTAAAGTTAAGTTAAAGTTAAGTTAAATTTAAGTTAAGTTAAGTTAACGTTATGTTAAAGTTAAAGTTATGTTAAAGTTAAAGTTAAAGTTAAACTTAAGAAGTTAAAGTTCAGTTAATTTTAGGATAAAGTTATGTTAAATTTAAGTTAAAATTACGTTAAGTTAAAGTTAAGTTAAAGATATGTTAAGTTAATGTTCGGTTTAAGTTAAAGTTATGTTTAATTTAAGTTAAAATTTAAAGTTATGTTAAAGTTAAGTTAAAGTTAGGTTAAAGTTATGTTAAAATTAAGTCAAAGTTAAGTAAAGGTTATGTTAAAGTTTATTTAAAGTTAAGTTAAAATTTAGTTGAAGTTAAGTTAAGTTTAACTTAAGTTTAAGTTAAGTTTAAGTTAAATTATCTCGTAATTTAATAATCGTTTATATCATCGCTGTTTAAGGAAGTAATGATGTCTAATTAACGCTGAATAATCAAAAATTTGATCGAATAAGCTCTGTTACAATTTTTGTAAGTCGAAGAAAAGCTTCTCGACATACCTTATTCAACACCAAATACTTCGATGTTGTAGTTGAATAAATTCTCAAGATTTGTGTGAACAAAGCCTGAACAGAAGTTAATATTTAAAATAGTACAAGTATTATTAAGCATGAAGTGATATAAAATAGTCAAGAAGCCGTTTCTTCAATAGGCAATTGTTTGTTGGGAAGTAAATGTTAGGTTAAAGTTATGTTAAAATTGATTTTTGGCCTCTATTTGTGACCCAAATTCCAAAAATACCCATATTTATGGACTTTTGAAATTATTTTTCACTTTTTATGAAACTGGAAGCCGCCACATTTGATTTCAAAATGGCATCGGATATCGATTTTCTCTAGACGACAACCTCCAAAAACCTTCAAAAAAATCCCATATTGATTGATAATTGATAGTAATTCCCAATCTCTTCTTGGATCTCGGAATTCAAAATGGCGTCGTATGCCTATTTCCAATCTCTAGACGTCACCCGATCCCAAAAATACCCATTTTATAGATAATTGACAGCATTCCCAATTTTTCTTAAACCAGAAGCCGCCATCTATAATTTCAAAAACTTATCGGATATTGATTAGCGGCAGGATTAGCGGCCTTTAGTCATTAGCCCGATTCTAAAAATACCCATATTTATGGATATTTGACACTTTTTCTGCAACAGGAATCGTCCACCTTGGATTTCAAAGTAGCGTCGGATATCGATTTCCTATATCTACACGTCACCCCGATTCCAAAAATACCCATATCGATGTCAATGGTATCAACGGTATATGATAATATATCCCATGTTTGATTTAAAAATGGCGTCGGATATCGATTTCCAGTTGATTGTAGATTGTAGATTGTAGTAGAGTTGGAAACTTGATCATGTAAACACTACGCATCATTGTCTGGTAGTTCGTTAAAAAATGATACAACAATCGTCAAGTTCGCTGTAACGTCACCTAGTGCCTCGTCATCCACGAATTGGCGCCTATGTCAGTAGTCTAATAACTCTTAGCGCGCTGATGGCATGGTTCCAATGCCGCATAGAGAGTTGCTAGGTTAGCTAAGGTCAGTTAACTGACTGGTGGGGAACGGGAGCTTTAGCTATGACCACAAACGAAGTGACAGACGACTTACTGGCGAAGAAATCCATTAAAATAATGTGGTTCACTGTAATAGAATTTTCTTAGAAGCTTGTGCCATCATCCACCAGATGGGATAGTATTTTTGTTTTGGTTTTGCACAAAGTTGATTTTGTGTACAATGATTCTTTGACAGTGTGCAAAGAGTGCGTATCAGTTTGTCATTTCTTTATGCATTTCAGTTTTGAGTAGAGTGAAAGAGATAGAACCAAAACATTCTAATACATTTGGTGAAAATGCTAGTATAATCCAGTAGTAGTGTTGCCATGTGGTACAATCCAGTAGTAGTGGTGTTGCCATGTGGTACACTGAAAAATTGAAATAGCAGGTTAGTCACCAAAGTTTTCGAGCCGCTCCGTCTGTCACTTCGTTTGTGGCTATGACTATTATGTATGCATTTCTATAACGTTATCTAACAACAATGGTGTGTACTGTTTACAAAATCATGTTTGTAATTCTAATGTGTTGTATGGTTGAAAGCATTTGAAAAAGTTAGATTTTAATGTTTTGCACATTTGAAAACATCCGAAAACAATAAGTTCTTAGTACAATTGAAAACACCCGAAAATCATTTTGTTTTAATGTCTTGTACATTTGACAACATCAGGAAGCATCTACAGTT